ACACACACACACACACACACACACACACACACACACACACACACACACACAGCGCGCGCGGCGCACTCAATGTATCTGATGTAACCATGAACAAAACCGTCAGAGAGAAAGTAAGGAACATAACTGTGTTTGAAAGAGACAGTATGCTTCTATTCTGTGAGTTATCTTTCCTATTGTGTTTTTAGTTCTTGTTTGACTGACTCCACGGAGTTTAGTCCCCTTGCAGTACGAACTGCAAAGTGTTGTTTATCTTAATACTTGTCATCCTTAATGCCCTTTAAAAGACCCCGTTCAGTTGCTGAAGAAAGCAACAACAACAACAACAACAAAAAACCCAATAATAAATTTATAAATAAAACTCACGAACACATCTTTACATTGAACAGGGTTTGAGTCCACGATTTCCAGGTTATACCTCTGGTTATACCTGCCCAAGCCACTACTCAATGTTACCGTGTGCAAGTTGCGCACGTTAAAGATCCCTTGTTGGTCTAAAATTGATAAGAGTAGGCTTCGGCGTCACCAGAGCAACATTCAAAATGTTCTACCAACTGAAAATGTTTAATGTGTCCCACGCGCTCATATGACCTTATGCAGTTGGGAGCGCCGTAAAACAATTACCACAACTAAACAACAACTCAATGTTAACTAAACTCCATATTCGAGAGGAAAGATGTCAAAATAAACCAAATTGTCTAAACAACACGTTTCAAAACGCCTCGATCCTCCTTCTCTGTTTTCAACATTCCCTCGCTAGATCTTTGAGGAAATCGACTGCAGATTCTTTGGAGTTCAGACCTGTTAGGGTTACCTGAGGAGATCGACCAATGAAATCTACAAGCCCAAAAATGGACGAGAGCCTGATTCCACCACGCTGCCTCAATGTGTCAGACTCAGGTCACAGAGAATGAAGTCGACGGAGGACGAGGTTACTATAGAATTGGAGTACATGTATTTAGGTATTGAGATTTTGTCAAAATGTTTTGCAATTTTTGTCTTGATCAGGTAATCTTCCTTGATCTTATATCTTACTTTGGAGGTTTGTTTCCCTGACAAGACAGCTTTGGGCGTTAACATCTCTTGGATGAAGGAAATGAGGGTGGTTGGGGGAGGGGGGTAAAGGGGAGGGGGGTTCGCTGTCTCCCGATACTTTCAAGGTCTTTTTATGCTCAGGGTACTTTGTACTTTGGATTTGAAAAACTAGGCACAGGTTCGCCGTCTCCAGTGACTAATGTGTGTGTTTTGGCTAGGGAAATGTTGGCGGAAGACGCACAGCCAGGAGTCAAGATTTAAATATAGCTTAAAAACCAAACAGGATCTTTATTGACAGAAACGTCAGTTGGGAAAGAAAAGAAGGATTTTATACCAGTGCC